AGCAATTTGTTCTGCTGAAGTGGCTTTATTTTTCTGAGGCATGCAGAGAAGAGGGGTGAAAGAGAAGTTGGAAATTTTGAGTTACATGTGTTCCAATATATGCAAAGTGCTTCCCTTAGTTTTCCTATGGGGATAAGCTGTTCAGTGGTTGCAATTTGTATGATGCCTTCTAATTAAGCTGGGAGTTCACCAAGCATGTGTTTAGTTTGAGATGTACTTCGTTCTTCAGCTGAACTCCTGTTGTTCGGTTTTTTCAGTCCCTGATGTGCAGACTGCTTCATCTTTGGCCTTAAAGAAGTGCATTTTGCCATGCGGTGGTGCCACCAAGCACAGTGGCGCAAAGGAGACACTCCCAGCATTAGCTGATCTGCTTGCCAGGCTGTCACTCTTCCCTTCAGTGCTACGAAGATGCCTGTTGCTGGAAAAATTGCTTAGGAATTGCAAAGCGTTGTGAGGATGTTATGATCAGGCTGTTATGATCTGCCGGAGCTGCCCATCAGAAGGGAGATGTTCTTCTTTCCCACTGGTTAAGGGAGGAAGGCTTTCTCTTTGTCCTGCCTTCTGACCCGCCTGCCTGGCTGCTAACCTCTGTGGCAATTTGTCATCTCTGGCATGGGAAGCGCATCATGAGCATGTGTGGTAGAGGGGCTCACCTCATCAGCTCATATTTTTATTGTGTTTTGAGATGAGACATACATAGAGATGTGTGTCCTTACCCACATGACCTGTGCTCTTACAGGGAAAAGCTTCCTTGCCAGTCATTGAGGAGATAAGAAAAACAGTAGGAAAAACCTCAGGAAGCATTTCTTTACTGAGAGGGTGGTCAAAACCTGGAACAGGCTTCTTAGAGAGGTGGTCAATGCCCCATGCTTGTCAGTGCTTAAGAGGCATTTGGAAAATGCTCTTAATAATGTGCTTTAACTTTTGGTCAGCCCTGAAGTGGTCAGGCAGTTGGACTAGACAATCGTTGTAGGTACCCTCCAACTGGAACTTCTATTCCACTCCATTCCATTCCATTCCAAGTTGAGGTATGGGGATAGACACGTTGTGGATGGAGTGGGAAGGAGGCAAAAATACAGTTTATTGGTGTAAAACAATGAGTTAACAAAGTTCAGTGGTAAATGTGACAGTAGTTTATAAGATTCAATGGCAAGGTACACTTGGTTATTTACTGCACAGAGGACAGGGTCAGACAGAACTGTCAGGGAGACCCTCCCATTGAGTCATGAGGTTCAGAAAAGAT